TCCCTCAGCACACCTTTGCCAATACATGCAAGACTGCAACTGTAGTCACAATGTACAAAGAATTCTTGTTTTAAGCCTCTCTAAATGATTGCACCAATGTTGGGCCATGAAATGGGGGGAATGAGGTGGGATGTTTTTGTTTGGAGCTTTTTTCCTTTTTTTCTTAAGGGAAAAAATATGGCTGCAAGACCATATTGAAAAAGAAATGGCTGATGTTAACCAACCATCCTTAATACTTTTGTTTTATTGATGGGATGTTATTGTATGTAAAGTGTTGCTTAATCTTCTCTGTAAAATCAGCTTTACAGAGAACTTTTTTGTTAAACTATCTAAGTCTGGACCACCAGGCCATCTTTGTCTCACTGAAGACCTAGAGAATGTGTGTATCAATGTTATTCATAGAAAAGCTGTTGATTGGTACTTCTGCAGCGTATTTCTTTACAGATGCTTCTTTTAAAAAAAAAAAGTGCTTTTATATAAAACTCCTATTTTTATAGGCAGTGGTGCATAATAATAACGACCAGATACTTTGTAGGTGTATGCTATTATGGCGTATGGAAGTGTAAGCTTTTACTTTAATCTGCAAATTTGTGTTCTGGTAACAGGGTTACTAACAGGCGATGCCACTTGGCAGTTGAGCAAGCTCTCTACCTAGGTGAAAAAGGTACACTTCAGTTGGCTTAAGCTATCTAGAGGAGTTTGTTTGTGGGGAGTCTTGTGTTTTATATTGCTTTCACATCAGAACATACTGAGACGAATGAAGGGTTTTCTGTATTTTTATTTTTTTTAAACAACTCTGAATATAGAGTAGTTATCATCATAACAATTTCATCTGTTGGCCATCACAGGGGAGAGGAGTGGAAGCAAACTTTTGTGAACGGCTTGAGCCAATAAGAACTGTAGAAATGATACGGTTATCGTAATAGCAAGGGAAATTGAAGTGTTTTGTGTTACCTCAGAACTTATTAAAGAACACTGATTTCCTGTTGAAATGTTTTATGGTTGACTGGAACGATCCCTGTGAACTTCACATAGGTTGTTACCACTTTTGCATTAGTTCTGATAAACCAGTTTTGGCAACTAGAGCAAGCTGATATATCAGCAGTATGTTAATCAGTGAAACGTACAAAGTGTTTCTGTGTATTTCAAATTTCTCTAATTTCTTTCTGTGCTAAATTTGAAGTGTTGTTTCCGGAGAGGCTGATCTTACAATCACCACAAGCTGTCAAGACCCAGAATACTACTGAGTATTGTGGTGTTGATGATGGCCTTGAACAACATTCCCAGCAGGAAAGTAAGGTACCTATTCTGTAGATGTTCCTTAAAATGCTGAATTAATACTTATTTAAAAACTGTATGATCATAACTGAAATTGTCAGATTTGCCTTAGACTAGTTTTCATAGCCACTGTTGAGTAAATACTTAAGTCTTGTCACTGTGGCAGCAAATAATTTTATGATAGAAGGTAATCATCCTATTGTGAGTAGATTTGCCCAGGCTTCTAAACTGCTAGTTAAATTACATTAAGAAAATGTAGAAATCTTTCTTACAAAGGACTTCAGAAGGTTATCTAGTCCTCCTTCCTATTCAAAGCAGGGCTGCTACCAACCTAAATCAAGTCAGCTTGGATGGGGTGGGTGGGAGGTGTTTCTTAATTTTTGTCCAGGGGTTCCACAGCCTCTGCATAACCTGTGCTTCACCACCTTTTCACTCAAACCTTTTTCCTCATTCCCAGCATGAATCTTCCACCTGCAGCTTGTGGACATGGAACCTTATTATATCATATGGTACTATAAAGAAGAGTTTTGTCTCTCATTTTTTTTGTAGTCTGATTTAAAGCAATCATGGACTAGTAGACTGCCTCTTCACCTCTTCAGACCCAGAGCTGTGCTGGTGAAAGCAGCACAGATGGTTATTGTTCTGCAAGACACCTGCTTCTGCTGGTGCCTTTCTGTTTGAGTAGAAGGATGGTAGAGAACATCACCTGGGCCTCTCATGCTTTCCCCAGTGCTATATGATCCTCCCCTTGATCTATTCAGTGTCATTAGTACCCACATGGGTAAGCAGCAAAGGGAAGTAGTCAGAAGGTCTAGATGAGCCTTGCAGTCTCTCCATGACATCATGGCTCTAGGGAAGCAGCAAGTAATTCTGGATGATACCTCTGTCCTGTACAAGAGGGAGTAATCAACCTCTAACACTCTCACTTCACTGGATAAGGATCAGTACTATTAAGATGATTGAGGCATCTGGTCTAGAACCTTGCAAACACTGCGTTCCCTACAAGCAGTTTTCTCTTGCTGCAGTGTGAAGGAGGTATGACCTTGTCTAGTGGTGTGAAATGTGAATGTTAGCTTTTAAGGAAGGAAACAAGTTACTCAGCCATGGCTTCAAAATCCTTGTCTGAGCCTGCAAAGTATCTGTGGAAAAAAAAGTTTAATGTTAACATAAGCCAAACTTTTAGAAATCTTAAATTTAAGGTGGGAATTCCTAGCACCTTCTTCTAATACTCTTATCTTTCTGTCTTCACAGTAGATATTCTATTTAATGGGATAATGCTATTTAATGGGAAAAAATAAAACCTAGCAACCTTAAAAGTGTTAGTAAATATAAGCCTGTAATCTTAAAGTTATAAGTGCACTTATCTTCACTTGCTACTTTCAGGTCAAAAAACTGCAGAACAAACAGGCAAAACGCATCGCATCAAGGGAGATAAATGTAACAGATGTGATGAGAGTAACTGCGCAAACAAGCCAACTCGGTATACTTCAATACTTTATATTCAAGTGTAGGCAGTTCAGGATTCCAGTCACTTCAGTAAACCAGGGCTGAGTAAGATACCTTTTAGATGTCCTCATGCTCTGTCTTTTAAAGACAAATTCTAGACCAATACTAGCAGGAAGCTTCATTGGAGTCTTTCTGTGGATTACTTAAACATCTCCAGTTCATAGAATCATAGAATCATAGAATGGTTTGTGTTGGAAGAGACCTTAAAGATCGTCCAGCCCAGCCCCCTGCCATGGGCAGGGACACCTCCCACTAGACCAGGTTACTCAAAGGCCCATCCAACCTGGCCTTGAACACTACCAAGGAGGAGACAACAAACATCTAGTGATATATTTTGTATTCAATAAATTACCATTTTCCAGTTCTTTACTGGAAAATTTTTGATCATGTTCAAAGTTTTCAATTTGTTACTGGGATTCTGAGTCTCATCCTTGGGTTAGCTAATTTGCCAAAGATGCTAGAACTTTGGAAAAGTTTTCAGAAAGCCCTAATCATTCCTATGCTTTGCTGGAAAGTGTGACTTTAAATATCAGTGTACTTAATTGCCAAAGAGGGTGAATTTATCACTTTGTAGCAATAGATTGCCTAAAGAAATATGGAATGGATTACCTGGAATGCACTTCTGTCCAAGGCTCAACAAGATTCTGCTGTGGAAAGCTAAAGCTAGACTAACTCGGACAGGATTAAGAAAAAAATTTCAGTAGTCATGACTTACTACTGGTCATCTAGTGTTGGTACAATCCCTGAAGTATCAGTTACTTAAAGTTACTGAAATTTTCCTGTTCTGGGGCAAAAAATGTGAACTTGTTGCTAAAATTAGTGAATAAAGATTTTACAGATTGTTGGGTTGCATAATCATACTCTTTCTCTGGCCTTCAATTTTGTTAAAGATCCAATACACTTCTGAAACATTAATGGTGGCTTTTCTGCATGCTATTCTATGAAATCAGAATTTTTGAAAAATTCATTAGTTGCTGCCACATAAGGAAAATGAAAATTTTTTGAAACCTAATACGAATTGGACTTGCTTTAATGTACATATGTTAGAAATACTTGTGTGAAGTTTGATATATACTTACCTTGATTATAGGTGGTGAAGCTGTGACACTTAAACAGAGAGCTGGTGAATTTTTCAATCCTATGCTGAATGAGCAACAGAAACTGGCAGTGAAAAGGATATTGAGTGGCGAATGTCGTCCAACACCGTATATTCTCTTTGGACCACCAGGAACTGGAAAAACATTAACAGTAATTGAAGCTATTTTACAGGTAATGGTAGATGACAAAATCAGTAATCTCCAGTGTTGAAATGCTTACAGTAATACTGTAAATACTATCATATTTTTTTTTCCCCAAGGAATTTTTGAAATAGTTTTTTTAATATCTTTTTCTATAGCTCCGTGAAAGAGGAAAGGTCTTTGTAGATGTAACAGAATTCCTGAATGGCTGGCTTTCAAGTCTTCTTGTCTTTGTCTTTAAAGCTTTAGTGAATAGTATCTAACTTGTGATTCCAATAGTGCATATATTCATGAAGCACAGGTATACATTAATATGATAACCATCACTTAATTCTGCTGTTGGTACACTTGGTTTCAGAGCACTTATTCATGACTGTCAAGACTAGTGCTGTTGAACTGCAAAAGGATGGATGAATATAACATGTATGCAAAACTCTTCTGGATTCAGTGAAATGAAACTGGCATGTCGGAGCTATTGCTACTTCACTAAATAACCTTTTTTTTTTTTTTCATGTTCATCTTTAATGTAGATACATTATACTCTACCAGGTAGTCGAATTTTGGTTTGTGCGCCATCAAATGCTGCAACAGATCTGATTTGCTTACGGCTGCATCAAAGCAATCTGTTAAGACCGGGAGCTATGGTCCGAGTTAATGCTAGCTTCAGGTCAGAAGAGGTAAATATTTTGATCTTAAAATACTGATTTAGTAGCATAACTGTCAGTGATTGTTAGGCTAGTTAGGCTTCTTTAGAATCCAAAGTACAAACATTACTTCAGCTTTTCCAAAAGATTAGCTGGAAAATGTTGATCATAGTCCTTAATTTGATTGTATGAGTGTAGAATCTTAACCTCTTTCCTGCAGTGCTTAATTCCACAAGCAGCACATACCTATCGGGGGGATTTTTAATGCGGTAAAATCCTTTGATTTACAAAGCAATCCTAAAATCTGTTACTGAAGTCAAGCCTTTGTCTCCAAATTTAAGACTACTTACACAGAAAAGTAAGCAAGTACAAGTGACTTCTTTATACAGTACGCATGCATTTTATATTTATGTATAAGAAAAAACCATATGTTCAATTTTTATCCTTACACTAAAGGGTATATGTACTACTTTGTTTAGGCAAATTAATGAAGAATTCATTTCAGTGTATGAGCAGGTCTAAATCGAAATGTTTTGATCATCTTCTAAAATAGTTTTCAGTGGGTTTTTTTTATTCAAATTAAAACGTTTAGGTTTTGGGTGGCATTCTGTTTTACAAAATACCTTTTTGTTTTTGCAGCAAATTGATGACATGGTGAAACCTTACTGCAGCGATGGTGATGATGTTCGGAAAGCATCATGGTTCAGGATAGTAATTGCCACATGCAGCAGTGCAGGATTGTTTTATCAAACAGGAATACGGTAGAGTACCGTAGATAGGAATATCACTCAGGTGGCTGGATGCTACAGAACCCAGAGCTTTTAGATAACCTCTGTACTGTAACTAGAGCTGTTTTAATGCAGTTTATTGCATGTGCCTCTGTTTTGAAATTGTCTTCCTAGGAAACTTCCTAGGGAGCTGGCTGAGGTCATTGCCGGACCA